AAATCATCTCAATAGGAGACTCTGAAAAAGAATACCATATCACTTCTATGGTGTTCTTGCTAAAAAATGTGAAACTTGAATTTAATCATAAGGAAACATGACACAATCCCAGACTGAGACATATTCCAGAATCCCTGCTTCTTTAGAAAAATACATTTAGAAGAAATGTGTTTTTTGCCGGTATATAGAAAAATAAATCGATCTCATCCAGCCACCTTGACAAATTCCCCTATTATTTCTAGTAATTTGTCTGTTTATTCTTTGGGGTATTCTGTGTTATCAAAAAATAATTAAGCTCTACTCGAGGTCCAGGACAGGAATATCCAAGTGGCTGAGCCCAGGTCATATGCCTGAACTGGTAAAGCAATTATCTGGCATTTTTAGTTTGTATAATGGGAGGGAGGCTTCCTCCCAGCCAGATTTATAAAATGGAGAATTCTCTAAATATAAAAACAGAACAGGAAAGACAAATTTTGCTGAAATCCAGAGTACACTGTAGGAAAACATTTTAATAATATGAATGATAATACAGTATAAGAAATAGTATAAAATAGCATAAAATACATAACAAATAATGAGGCATACAGACAAAAGATCATTAAAATGCAAAGGTCATAATTTAAAGTAAAAGTGCTAAGTAAAAGTAAATGTGAGAATGATACAATCTTAAAATCTGAGTATCACACTTGGATCATATCATGGATCCTTCAGAGCAACTGGAATTTATTCCTCTTAAGCCCTGCAATTCTAGAATAGAGTCAGTAAACTTTCAAACAGTACATTAACAGGCAACTCTCAAAACCTTGCATGTTCTCTGAATGTCTCACCATTTATGCCCAATTGACCCCAGGGGAGAAATCACCAGAGAGGAACAAAGAACAAAAATAGAGCCAGGAACTACTTTTTTGTGTCTTCTCCCAGAGGGGCATTCTCATGGACCCTCTCCAAGAAAAAAAGAACATGAAGAATGGGAGGTCAAACAGGCATGAAAAGACTATGATATATTTTAACATCTATATGCATTCTTCTACAGCTCTTTTTCATTTTTAATTTTTTGCTCACACATTAAAGTGGACCAGAGGTCATTCACACCTTTGCAAAAATTAAAAATGTTTGCAAAAGATCAATTTACTTCTACCTATTTAATCTAAATAAATTTCATATGGGAGGCTGAGGACAGTTTCATAAAAGGGATGAGCAGGGACCTGAAGGATGATTAAGAAAGAAAGGAAGAGGCAACACTTCAGGCTAAGGAATAACAAACAGAACTGAGAACAAGCTAGGTCTATGTGACAAACTGAGTGTAAAAGAACTGGAACACAGACCTATTAATTCCATGAGGTTAAAAAAAAAAAAAAAACTTGAATAAACACATGGGAAACCTGGAAGAGAAGCAGTTTGAGAAAACCAGATTAACTTATATGGACGGATTAAAAATTGCTCATAAAACATTCAACTAATGTTATCAAGTAGGCAGTTTGAAATGCGGGCTTAGGAAGATGCTAGAGATCTAGAGCCAGAAACCATGCAACATATAGATCGTGGTCACCTCCACAGAATATGTATTTGTTACTAGTGTTAATGTGCCTCAGGCTACCAAACACTTAGATTAATAACTACTAATCAAGGTAGAATCAAACATGGTGATTAATAATTTTCAATTGCCTAAAGGCAATTCAAGTGAACTCTATAAATCCATCAATTCTTCAAATCAACTTTGTGGCTCAGAACAGATTTTCTTCCAGATGTTGAAATCTACATCAACACATATACAAACACCGCAATTCAGGGGTCTTCAGAAAACTGCAGGCAGTCACACTGAACTATAAGCACGCAACACCTCTCCCTGTGTGTGATCTCACTACACCTGCCTGCAACACTGCTGAACTTACGAGGCTCAAGTGGCAGTTAAATGGCAGAATTCAGGCCTTGAATGTGGGTCATCTACCCCACACCCAGTGTTATTACATCTTAGTGATCAGGTGAAGGGGTATGGCAAGAGGGTCCTGAATTCTTACGTACACAAATCTGACCCTATAGGCTGTAAACTATTTTTAAGTTATGGCATTGTGATTTGTAATAATAAATATATATTTGGTCTTTGCCCAATTTCTGGCACAGAGCTCCCCAAACCCTGGCAATTTCACAAGTGATAAGCGCAGCAGATGTTCTTCTGTTACATTAATGAGGTGGTTTTTGGACCCACCCCTTCCCCCCACCCTAATGAAGGATGGGGGCTGGCTGCCAGGAGAGCCAACCATGTGATCAGAGTGCTGGAACTTTCGGTCCTACCCGTCCAACCTCCAGAGAAGGTAGACAACCAGGAGGCTGAATCAATCACCAATGGCCAATGATTTAGTAAGTCATGACTATGTAATGAGGCCTCCAGAAAAACCCAAAAGGACAGGGTTGGGGAGGTTGCATGCTGGTGAATACATAAAGGTGATGGGAGAATGGCGCCCTCGGTGAGCATGGAAGCTCCACACCCCTTCCCACTTACTTTGTGCTGCACACCCCTTCCATCTGGCTGTCATCTCTATCCTTTATCATATCCTTTCATAAATTAGTAAACATAAGTATTGCACAGTTTTCTGTTAGGCACTCTAACAAATTAGTCACACCAAGGAGAGGGCTCTTTGGAACCTCCAACCTATAGCTGGTTGGTCAGAAACACAGGGCTTGCAACTGGCCTCCGAAGTATGTGTGCATGTGGGAGTGGGAGCCAGTTCTATGCAAACGAGCCCTTAATCTGTGAGATCTGACCTCAACTTCAGGTAGATCGCATCAGAATTCAGTTCAACTGTAGGACACCCAGCAGCTGTCACAGAGAATTCCTTGGTGTGGGGCAAAGTTCCATACAGTTGCTGACCAAAAGTGTCCAGGAAGTGTCTAGGTCAAAGAAGGGACAGGGATGCCTGGGTGGCATGATCCTACCAGGGTCCCAGGATGGAGCCCTACGTCAGGCTCCCTGCTCAGCGGGGTGCCTGCTTCTCCCTCTCCACTCTGCTCATGCTCTCTCCCTCACTATCTCTGTCTCTCAATCTCTCTCAAATAAATAAATAAACCTTAAAAAAAAAAAAAGTAGAGGCACATAGGGAACAAACACACAGGAGGGAAGTAGTGAGTTTTTCCCTACACAGGAAGAAAAAAAAAAGAAAAAAAACCTGAGTCTTCCCTTTACCTTACCCACATACAAATTTCTTTTCTTTTATGGTGTTAAGGCTTTTTTTTTCTCATTAAAAATCAGTACATGCTCAAAATTCTAATCTTACAAAAGTGTATACAAGAGAAAGTGGCATAACCCCATAATCCCAACTCTCACAACATGCAATGTTTGTTCCACAAGACCATTATCTCTAGTCATCTAATTAATGCATACGTAGGAGCTGTATAAATGTGTATATAAGCCTGAATATATTTACACACTTGAAAATGCTTCTAGTACCTCAATTTTTAAAAGCAGAATGTTAGGTCACTGAGTATTTAGTACTTCAAATTTTCATAGCTATTGCCAAATTGCTTTCCAAGGAGATTGTCCCAATTTCTACTAGTTGACAAAAATTTGTATAAACAGAAATGGCCACAAGACATATAAACCAAGGAGACTATTCCAATTTCTACTGACATACAATATGCGATTGACAAATACACTCTATAAATACAAAGGGTCAAAAGACATACAAACCAATATTTAATCCCATTTGGTAAAGAAATCCAAATTAAAAGAAATATATTCTTTTTACCCATCAACTTGGCAAAAAAACCTGAAGACAATATTATCGAGCAGTATTATCTAACAGAGCATGGGAACAGGTCTCTCTCAGACTGCTGGAAGAATAACCTGGCTCAACTTCTTGAGGGCATTTGACCATGTGTGAACATTTTAATGTATGTGGACTATGAACAGGCAATTACACATTTAGGAATGGATCCCACATCAGTAAGTATTCCAGTCCCCAACAATTTACTTATAGTAATGCACAGTGCAGTCTTTAAAAAAAAGAGCAAAAATTTGAAACAATCTAAACGGCTATCAATCAGAAACTAAGTCAATTATGTTAAAACCATACGATGGATTATTTTCCAATCACAAAAAACGATGCTATGATATTCTTTTTAGCATAGAAAAATGTCCATGATATGAACAAATATATATAAGGATCCCATTTACATATAAATGTATACAAGCCATAGGAAGAATTTCTTAAAATATATCTCAGAACATCAATAGGTGGTATATCTACATGGAGGAGTAAACAGTAAATTTTCCTTACACATTTCTGTAATTGTTTTAAATGGCATGCATGTGTTTACTTTTATATTAAAGAAATCATTAATAATATATTTTTTAAAGACATGAGAGACCAAGAAAAGTTGCGAATCAGTATGCTAGAACCAGAAAATGCTCTAAATCCTTTCATATTCTGAAATTCTACATGATAATTAGGAAAATATTTACTCCAGGGGCCTTTTTCCTTCATTATTTCCAAAAAGCGTATTTAATATGCTTTCCCTAGATCTTGTGAGGAGAGTAAAATATAAGAAATGTTCCCCGTCCTTATATTTTGACTTTTAAAATAATAATAATGGCTGAATCTTGGGAATGCAGAGTAGGGGTAGAGAAAATAAGGAAATGATAAAACCCCAACCCAGGCAAAGCCTTTCTCAGGTTTCAAAACTCCCAAAGAAAATCAGTGCAAATCTCTAAATTCAGGTCTGAGAGCTAAATATGGGGACTCATTGCTCTTAAAGATTTATGTATATAATAATATCCTCCTCACAACAGATCACTATTCCTGAACTGTTACTATAGGAGACAAGTTAAGGAAACCATAACAAGTTAGACTTACGTTTAACTATCAGAAAAAAATGTATTATCTAACATTTATTCATTACATTTTTAAAAGCATGCTTATAAAAGCATATTAAAACATTCATTTGTGGTTTCAACTCTTCTACATTACGTGTAGTAAAAAAAAAAAATAATGACAAATAATTACCTCTCCTATGAAGACAACTATAACACAGTCCAACTTCTCTTCAGGATACAGATTATCAATAAGGGAATGAAGGGTTTCTATGAGGTAAGATTTCACTTCTCTCTTCACTGTGGGAATTCCCATTACTATTGACACTGAAACAAAATAATGATAGTAATTACATAAAAAGATTTCACAAAGACGGTATAGACTAACACTAGTATTTCAAAAATGATTATACCCTCTCAAATTGATAGCAACAACTGAGAAAGCGAAATATACTACTCAATAATAATTGAGGAATCAAAATATACTATAAAAATGTACAACTATACAAAGAAAAATAATAAAAGCCTATAAAAGCATAGCCTTAACAGTGTAATTCTTTTCACAGGGCTTATCCAAAAAAAAGTCAAAATACTGTTAAAAATGAAGACATTAAAAACAAGTGATCCTAAAGTATTAAATATATATTACACAAGTAAAAGATAGAAACTCTGAACACATCTGAAAAATTAATGTCTCAAAAAAAACCCCAATGTCTCAGATATCATGTATATAATGCAGTCAGAAGGACATAACATCCCTTCTGTGGTTTTCTTGACAAAAACACATAATCTCAATCTAACCATGAATATCAGACAAATCCAAATTAGGGGGGATAATCCACAAAATAATTGTCCAGGTGTTCTCTGAAGTGTCAAGATCAGGAAAGACAAAGAAAGAATAAAGAACTGTGAGAGATGGCAGAAGACGAAGGAAACATGACAAGTAAATGAAATATGGGATCCTGAGTCTGATCCTGGAACAAGAAAAGAATGAGAAAATGACAAAATCTGAAGAGGCTCTAAGGTTAGTTAATATGACAGCATCAATGTCAAGTTCCTGGTTTTGATCATTATATTATGGTTACACAAAATCTGAGCATTTAGGGGAACCAGGTGAGGTATATGAAAACATTGTCTGTACTATCCATGAAAGTTTTTCCAAGGCTAAAATTATAGCCAGCTCTGCTATAATGGTTGTTTTGCAACACAAATTTTTTTCCTGAGAGATTAATGTATTGGGCAACTATCTAAGCATCATATGGATTTTACATTTGCTTAGGTGCAATTTCTCCTCTGGGACAAGCATTCACTAGATAAACACAGAAAATGGCAACCATTTGAAATGAGCTCAAAAACTGAACCAAGTAATGTAGAAATACACAAACAGTATATACTTCTAACTTCTACCAGCTGCCTCAGTTTGCTGCACATGAAGAAACACACATGTCTACATCTAGTGTTGAAATTTCCACCAGATTGCAGATAACCTGCCTTGTATCACACTTCTCAAAATCTTCCAAGCGGCAATCCTTTTGAAGCCCATTTTAACAGGCAAACCTCAAGCATTATTCAGTACCTTATTTATTGTAGTACTTAGTATTTCTTAATCATTTAGCATGTGTAAAACTGCTCTTTTTTTGTCTTTTTGTACATGTAACTAACAAAGTTTCTGACCACTGCGATACTGACTTTTCTCCTTTTATTGAACAATTCTATATAGTATGATAAATTTTAAGAATGCATATATTGTGTTATAATAGGACTGTAATCCACAGGAAGTTTTTTTAAATGACATCTTTTAAAAAGCCAGTAGAGAAATATTTTGCAAATATTAAAAACATTTAAGTCTTAGTAATGTAAAAATTTATCAGAAATGTTACAAAATACTTAGAATTCATGAAATTCTGAGGCTGGAAGATCAGAGCTCAATGAGTCTACTACCATGATTCTGCAAATAACAACACTAACATCCATAATTTGGCTATATACAAAAGAAGGAAACTGGACCAGTTTGTTACACCATACACAAAAATAAACTCAAAACAGACTAAAAACCTAAATGTGAGACATGAAACCATAAAAATCCTAGACGAGAGCATTGGCAATAATCTCTCTAACATGGGCCATAGCAACATTTTTCTAGGTATGTCTTCTGAGGCAAGGAAAACAAAAGCAAAAATAAACTATCAGGACTCCACCAAAATAAAAAGCTTCTGCATAGCAAAGGAAACTATCCACAAAACTAAAAGACAGCCTACTGAATGAGAGAAGGTATTTGCAAATGACATACCTGATAAAGGGTTAGTATCCAAAATAAATAAAGAATACAACTTAACAACAAAAAAATAATCTTTAAAAAATTTAAAAGTGGACAGAAAACTTGAACAGATATTTCTTCAAAGAGGACATACAGATGGCCAACAAGACACATGAAAAGATGCTTGACATGACTCATCATCAGAAAAAGGCAAATCAAAATCACAATGAGATAATACCTCACATCTGTCAGGATGGTTAAAATCAACAACACAAGAAAAGAGGTGTTGATGAGGATGTGGAGAAAAAAAGAAATCCTCATGCATTAGTGGCAGAAATGCAAACTGGAACAGCAACTGTAGAAAACAGTACGGAGGTTCCTCAATAATTAAAAACAGACTACCCTATGACCCAGTAACTATACTATTGGGTACTCACCCAAAGAATATGAAAGCACTAATCCAAAAAGATAAGAGCACTCCTATGTTTACCACAGCATTATTTACAATAGCCAATAATGGAAGCAGCCCAAGTGTCCATGGATGGATGAAAGGATAAAGATGTGGTGTATACACACACACACTAGAATATTATTTGGCCATAAAAAGAATGCAGTCTTGCCATTTGCAGCAACATGGATGGAGCAATAGTGTATAATGTTAAGAGAGACAATTAAGTCAGACAAAGACAAATACTGTATGATTTCCACCTATAGTGGAATTTAGGAAACAAAACAAAGGGGGGAAAAAGACACAAACCAAAAAACCAGACTCTTAGCCACACAGAACAAAGAGATGGTTACTAGAGGGGTGAGTGGGAAGATAGATGAAATAGGTGATGGGTATTAAAGAATACATTTATGATGAGTGCCGAGGAATACATAAAATTACTGAATCATTATATTGTACAACTGAAATGAACACTATATATGAACTGTATTGGAATTAAAATTTAAAAAGCAGTAACCACCATCCCCACAAAAAGAACACTAAGATCCAAATGGTTTAAAAGATAGCCCCAAAAGGTAGATGCCACACTCCTCTCTTCCATTTTGAGATGAAGAGCTTCCTGGGGCTTAAAAAGAGATCTGTCATATTTGGACTTCTGGAAGATGGCAGAGCAGTAAGATCCAAAGCTCATGGACACACAGTACAACTAACTCTGGAAAAGACTCAAAGACTGGCACAAGAGACTTTGCAGTCAATCGTAGAGAAGGCCACACTGATAAGTACAGGAGGGGCAGAAGGGGCAGAAATGTATTTAGGAACCAAACCTCTGTGAGACTAGCCTCACACAGGAGGGATACCAAAGCACCAAGAAGGGAGAGGAGTAGAACCCACACCAGGTACCACAGGCATGGAGAACCCACACTGGAAAGATGAGTCCCCATAACATCTGGCTTTGAAAAACAGTGGGGCTTAACTTCCAAAGTTTTAAAATCAGCAGACCCTAACTCCAGGTATTTTTAAATCAGCTGGATCAGCTTCAGGAGAGCTGGAGGATAATAGAAAACTGAGTCCCCACCCTCAGAGAGCCAGCATAGCAAATACTTCTGCAGAGACACTGCAGGGCAGAAGCAGTTTAGAAAGTGCCTGGGGTAGCTCACATTTTGTGCTAGAGGTGCAGGAATCTTTAGGAGACTTCAAGAACAAAAGTGCTAGCAAGTGCCATTCTTTTACCCCAGTCCCCCCCCGACCTTTATAGCCAGATACTTGTGGGAACCACCACAAACATTCTCTACACATATTGCTCACACCAAGTGTCCCACCTCTGCCTTCCCTTTCAGAGGTACCATATCCAACCTGACCCACTCAGCAGGCATGCCTCCAAAGTCACATCTTCCCCAAACACCATGCAAGCAACCCCAGCAGGGACCAGTGCCACTCCAAAGTGACTCCTGTCCTGGAGAGAAGGGAATATAACCATACAAACCAGTGTAGCCACAGTCCCAGGAGCCAAACCTTATAACTGGCAGTGCAGACATAGTGCCCCCCAGCTCAGTGTGCCTGCAGTCCCAGAGCACACGGACTAAGGGCAGGCATCCAATCTGACTGCTGACCTACTACAAGCCCCCTAAAAGCACAGGAACCAAACCCTGACCAATGCACCCCAAATAGCTAAAAATGGGCCCTTGCAGCCAACTAGACTAAAGGTAAATGCAATCCTGTCACACAGTAGGACCCCCATAGCCACACGGGAGACACCCCTGAAGTGCCTGGTTCCAGTGAACAGAGGACACTGTGCTACAACACACCACAAAACCTCTTCATAAGGCCACTACTTTCAAGATCAGGAGATGGAGCTGATTTCCCTAATACAAAGAAACAAGCACAGAGTTAGACAAAATGAGGAGACAGAGTAATATGGCAAAAATGAAAGAACAGGACAAAAATCACAGCAAGAGAGCTAAATGAAATGGAGATATAAGCAATATGCTTGATAAGGGATTCAAAGTAATGGTCATAAAGATACTCACTGGCCTTGATAAAAAAGTGGAGGATCTCAGTAAGACCTTCAACAAAGAGATAGAAAATATAAAAAAGAACCAGTCAGAGATGGAAAATTCAGTAACTGAAATTCAAAATACACTAGAACAAATTGACAGCAGAAGAGAAGAGGCAGAACAACTAAGCAGTGATGTGCAAGACAGAGTAATGGAAAGCAACCAAGCTGAACAGCAAAAAGTAAAAAGAATAATAAAAAATGAGAATAGGGTCAGGGAACTCAACAATATCATCAAGCACAGTAATGTTCACTTCTTAGGGATCTCAAAAGACAGAAAGCGACAGAAAATTTATTTGAAGAAATTATTGCTGAAATTTCCCTATTCCAGGAAGGGAACAGATATCCAGACCCAGGAAGCACGGTGAGCCCCCCACAAAATTTACCCAAGGAAGTTCACAACAACACACATAATAGTTAAAATGACAAAAACAAGTGATAAAGAGAAAATTTTAAAAACAGCAAGAGAAAAGAAAACAGTTATACACAAGGGAAACCACATAAGCCTAACAGTTGATTTTCAAACAGAAACTTTGCAGGCTAGAATGGAGTGGCAAGATATATCCAAAGCCCTAAAAGGATAAAACACTCAACCAAGAACACTCTATACAGTGAGGCAATCATTCAGAATATAAGGAGAGATAATGACCTTTCCAGACAAACAAAAGTTAAACGAGTTCATCACCACTAAACTAGGCTTACCAAAAAAACAAAACAAAAAAACATTAAAGGGAATTCTTTAAAGAAGAGTAGAAAGAACAGGCAATAATTTAGTGTAAGAAAATTATGGAAGGAAAAAATTTCACAGATATAATAAAATAAAATGCAAACATATAATAAAAGTAGACTAATCACTTACAACACCAGTATGGACGTTAAAGCACAAAGGCGGTAAAATAAATTATAACTAAACAAATCAGTCAGGAGATTCATAGAATTATGTTAAGTATGACATAATATACATAAACCGGCAGGGAAGTGGGGAGAGGCACATAGAAAAAATTCAGTGCTTTTAGAATGGGTTCAAAACTTAAGTGACCACCAATTTATAGGTCTACATAGACTACACAGGATGTTCTATATGAATTTAGATTACATAGGATGTTCTATATGAACATAATGGTAACAAATTAAAAATTAAAATTAAAACAAATTTAAAAAAAAACCTGTAATAGATACATAAGAAAATAAAGAGAAAGGTATCCAAGCATAACACTAACAAAATCCACCAAACCACAGAGGAAAGAGCAAGAGAAGAACTGCAAAAAAACCCTAAAACAAGAACAAAATGGCATTAAATATATACTTATGAATAATCACTTTAAATG